TTTTTTTTTTTTGGCCAAATGGCACATTGGCTTGGATGTTAGTTCCTTGATCAGGGATCAAACTCTTGCCTCCTGCAGTGGAAGCATAATCTTAACTACTGGGCAACCAGGGAATTCCAGAGACTAGAATTTTTAAATTTCATATAATTTTGGCTTTTCATGAAATGAAAGAAATGAAAGATTTTTTCAATTATTTAAAAATGTGAAAACTGCTTTTGTTCACGACACATAGGAAAATAGAGGATGGGTAGAATTCAGCCTACTGTTTACTGAGTTTACTGAGCCCTGGTTTAAAGTATTAATTTTCTAGAATTCACAGTAGGCTATATGTACTAGTACTTCAAGAAATATGAAAACCAAAATTAGATACATGTATATTTGTGGGCTTTTTTAAAGTGACAAAGTCATATAGAGAACCAACTCAGCAAAGTTAAATTTAGATTAATATGACATTTTGTTATTTCTATTGCTGTGTATGTGAAAAATTCAGATATTGAATACGTAAGATATTTTTACTTGGTTAAAAGGAAACTGAGACCAAATGAAAATGTCAGTGGCTTCCCCCCCCGCCCCCGCCCCCCCAGTGGCTTTATTTGTTATGTTAAGATTTTCTTTAAAATGAGGTTAACTTTAAACTTTCAATAATATTATAGTCATTTAATATGAAATCACATCATTAGATAGAATAAGAAGGAAGACCATTTATTGTCAAAATGTAAAATTTAAAATATGATATTTGCTCAAATATGCTTATCTAATAAATAGCCAGTGTTCATGTAACTGCACTGTCTCTTAGTGAAACATACCATCATTAAACCACTGAATGAAAATCTTTTGTACATTACATGAATTGTACTTTCAAAATAAGCTATTTTTCTCTAGGTAAGATATACTATGGAATTGGAAAGAAAAAACTCATGGCTAACTTTTCTTTCTGTTTCAAATGTAATTAATAATACTTTGGATATAAGAAATTAAAATATTTGATAGTTTTTAAAATACTAATCTCCTAGAAATTTTAGATCATTATCACAGAATACATTTTAAAAACTTACCTTTATTTGTGTACCATGTATATTTGTGCTCATATGGTTGAATTCTGGCACAGCAACTCTATTTAAGAACTTATTTTGAATAAGTATTTAAAATTAAAGTATGTATATCTGCATTTTAAAATTCCTTACTTTATCAATTCTATCATAGAAATGTGTTCCGTCAATGATAGTGGAGTGAAAGGAGACTTAGGAAGGGACTATAATTAACTTTTGTGGGTTTTAGTTTGTAATAATTTAAAAGCTTGGAAATATTATATACAAGACATAAGGTATTAGATGAACATTTTTTTTAAAGTGAAGTAATTAACTAAAGCTATTTAGAGAACATAAAAATACTAGCTGAGTGTTAAAAAAAAAAACAAAACCTGGAATCAGGTAACTAGATTCAATCAATTTTTACTCTGAGTTTTATATACCTAGGTGTAATTTCAAATCAGAGTTCTAGACCTAAAATCTCATTTTTTAAAAATTCAGTTCAGTTGCTGAGTCGTGTCCAACTCTTTGAGACCACATGGGCTTCAGCAGTCCAGGCTTCCCTGTCCATCACCAACTCCCGGAGCTTACTCAAACTCATGTCCATTGAGTCGATGGTGCCATCCAGCCATCTCATCCTCTGTTGTCCCCTTCTCCTCTCACCTTCAATCTTTCCCAGCATCAAGATCTTATCTAAAGAGTCAGTTCTTCACATCAGGTGGCCAAAGTATTGGAGTTTCAGCTTCAGCATCAGTCCTTCCAATGAATATTTAGGACTGATTTCCTTTAGGATGGACTGATTGGATCTCCTTGCTGTCCAAGGGACTCTCAAGAGTCTTCACCAACACCACAGTTCAAAAGCATCAATTCTTCACTGCTTAGCTTTCTTTGAGTCCAACTCTCACATCCATACACGACTACTGGAAAAACCATAGCTTTGACTAGATGGACCTTTGTTGGCTAAGTAATGTCTCTGCTTTTTAATATGTTGTCTAGGTTGGTCATAACTTTCCTTCCAAGGAGCCAGCATCTTTTAATTTCATGGCTTCAGTCACCATCTGCAGTGATTTTGGAGCCCCCTAAAATAAAATCTGTCACTGTTTCCATTGCTTCCCCATCTATTTTCCATGAGGTGATGGGACCAGATGTCACGATCTTAGTTTTCTGAATGTTGAATTTTAAGCCAACTTTTTCACTCTCTTCTTTCACTTTCATCAAGAGACTCTGTAGTTCTTCTTCACTTTTTGCCATAAAGGTGGTGTCATCTGCATATCTGAGATTATTGATATTTCTCCCAGCAATCTTGATTCCAGCTTGTGCTTCATCCAGCCCAGCACTTCTCGTGGTGTACTCTGCATATAAGTTAAATAAGCAGGGTGACAATATACAGCCTTGATGTACTCCTTTCCCGATTTGGAACCAGTCTGTTGTTCCATGTCCGGTTCTAACTGTTGCTTCCTGACCTGCATACAGATTTCTCAGGAGGCAGGTCAGGTGGTCTGGTATTCCCATCTCTTTCAGAATTTTCCACAGTTTGCTTTTATCCACACTGTCAAAGGCTTTAGTATAGTCAATAAAGCAGAAATAGATGTTTTTCTGGAACTCTTTGGCTTTTTCTATGATCCAACGCATGTTGGCTATTTGATCTCTGGTTCCCCTGCCTTTTCTAAATGCAGCTTGAACATCTGGAAGTTCACAGTTCACGTACTGTTGAAGCCTGGCTTGGAGAATTTTGAGAATTACTTTGCTAGCGTGTGAGATGAGTGCAATTGTGTGGTAGTTTGAACATTCTTTGCAGTGCCTTTCTTTGATATTTGAATGAAAACTGACCTTTTCCAGTCCTGTGGCCACTGCTGAGTTTTCCAATTTTGCTGGCATATTGAGTGCAGCACTTTCACAGCATCATCTTTTAGGGTTTGAAATACCTCAGCTGGAATTTCATAACCTCCATAAGTTTAATTTAAAAATTAATACCACATCAAAATCAATACAAATAATTTCTAGTTATGGGTGTGTGAATTTGAGGATTTTAATTTAAGTGAAGTTTTGATGAAATTGAAAATTTTAACTTCATTAGTGATGTAATTCTTAAAAATTAAGTATTATCATGGTCAGGATAGATGTTGATATACTTGATTTTCTATATTTCACAGTGTGTTACTATCAATAGCACTTTTGTAACAAGATAATCATTCATTTAACAAACATATCTTGAGAATCTACAGTGGACCTGGCATTATGCTAAATACTAAATACAAAGATGAATATAACATTCTTGCCTTTATGAAATTTACAGGTTTATTAGGAAATATCAAAGATGCACATCTGGGATGATTTTGACAGCAGGAGGCATTTGTCAGTGTCTGGGATATGAAGTGGTCATTACTTAAGGGGGAGTTCTGGCAGACAGTTGGTAGAAGCCAGGGATGCCTTTAAACATCCTACAATGCTATTAAAACACCCTGCAACAAAGAATTTATCCAGTCTAAAATGTCAATAGTGCTGGCTTTGATAAACTTTGATCTAAGTGTAACACATGTTTAAAACTATTATAGAATGATGTAAAGACTCTGATGGTCAATTTGATAACTCAACAAGCAAGAACAGTTGTCATGATAGAGGAATATTTTGAAAAAAGACCTGTGTTTGAGCTGATTCTTGAAAGGCTGAATGGAGTTGGAAAGAAGAGTTTTCCAAACAAAGTCAGCAAAGCGAGCAAAACTATAGATGTGTAAAATAACTTCTAATTTTTGGGAACTATGTAAAGTCTAGAGTGGGTTGGTTGGTTGAATGTGGGAGTTTAAAGACCTGAAGTTGGGCAGGTGAGTAGGAAAAGGTATTAGAAATGATGAAGGAATTTGAGCAGGTGCATATGATCAGAGCAGTCCATTTGTAGGATTCATCAGCCTTGTGAAGTGTCATGATTATTTGAGGAAACATTAAAATCTTGCTTCACTTGACTAGAGAAGAACCACAAGAGGATAAGTCTCCTAGTGAGAAAGAAGCTTCCCTGTTTCTTTTCCTATAAATGTTTTGCTTCTGATAATATCTTTCACTTTATTTCTCAGAACTATATCAAAACAACCATAGTTGAACCTTAACTCATTTTCTATAGTTTCATAAATATATTATGTTGCTGACTGGCTGACTCTTGTGGACAAAAGCTGCATTGGTGAAGCATCAAGTGGCACTGTCCTTCTTTGGAGGTTCTATTTTCAGATGCCTGTTGCAGAGCCATGGTGAAGAAAAAAAATAATCTGCTTACCAATAAAAAATAGACAACTGTAAATGAAATCTCAACTGTAGCAAAACCTTGTTCTTCTTTCTCAGTGGTTCTTAATTTTGGATGCTACATGCATGCTAAGTCACTTCAGTCGTGTCTGACTCTTTGCAACCCCGTGAACTATAGCCGGCCAGGCTGCTCTGTCCATGGGGTTCTCCAGGCAAGAATACTGGAGTGGATTGCCATGCCCTCCTCCAGGGGATCTTCCCAACCCAGGTATTGAACCCAAGTCTCTTACATCTTCTGCATTGACTGGTTCTTTACCATTAGCACCACCTGGGAGGGATACATACTCATTAGAATTACTGGAGGGAGAGATCTGGGTTTCTGTATTTCTTAAAACTCCCTAGGTTAATGCAGGCAGCTCTGCTATGGATACAGAAAATTAACCTCATACTTTGGCTTTGCAATGATTTATTTTTAGATTTTTTTCATTGTAAACACATGCTATTTTCATTAAAAGTTAAAATGACTTTTAATTTTTTTTTTTTTTAGCCCACGCCAACTTTCAAAGAGTAGCTTTCTGGTTACAAGTGTAACATAACAAGAGGGAACTAGTCTATAATTTCTTACATGATTCCCAAGTTGGATGAGGCTCATGTATGTCACAGAGAAATAACTAGAGATTTGAACATGAAACTTTGAACAATGGTACTTATATTTTCAGAAAGTCTTATTGTGTGCTGCCCATTTCTGTGACCAAGTGGTTCATGTGGCTGGTGAGTGTACTGCACAATGAAGCAGGGCTGAGTTTAATCTTCCTATGGCTCATTCCATCTTCTTAGGCACAGATTATATTCTCTGGTCTAGACAGCACCTTTGAAATTGTGGGGTTTTCTTGCTAAAATGCTGGAGAAAATTGTACAGTGCTACTGTGGTTTTATTGACATGAATTCATTCCTATAAAGAGTCACTAAAAATACCAGCCCTAATCTTTTGTTTGGGCTTCCCAGGGGACTCAGTGGTAAAGAATCCATCTGCCAGTGCAGGAAACATAAGAGATGTGAGTTCAATTCCTGGGTCAGGAAGATCCCCTGGAGAAGGGAATTCTAGTATTCTTGCCTGGGAAATTCCATGGGCAGAAGAGCTTGGTGGGCTACAGCCCATGGGTTCGAGAAGAGTTGGATATGACTTAGCAACTAAGCAACAACAATTTTTTGTTTACTCACCAGATAGATATTAATTATCTAATTCTGTGCAAGAGGCTGCCTTTTCTCCCCACTCTATCAAGAAACAGAAAGGCAAAGAGGGTTCAGTCTTCATTCTCTATGTATTTACAACATTGTACCAATGAGCAAAAGAGGACTATCATTACACTATCATTACAAATTGTCTTCTCTCCAGCCCCTTGAATATCTTTCAATTGTATTTCTCTTTTCTAGTATCAGTGATCCCTTTGTGAAAAATTTCCTCTAGTACTAATTGCTGTCTAGTTATCTTCCTCTCTTTCTCCTTAAATTCAGAAACTTCCTTGTATAAGTATTTATCCCCTCTACTTCCTTAATATATATTTATAACATTAATCCTCTAAGACACAAATAATGACTATAATTCAGCTTTGAGTCCTTACTCAGAACATGGACTATGTTTTCTTGTGAACAGTTGAGGCTGGGGATGCTGTTTTCGTTTTGCTTGCTTCTTTTGTTTGGCCAATTGAAACATGTTTGTGGATAGGGAACCATGGGTACCATGTTTCTACATTTAGTCTTTATCCTCTTATGTTTCTAATTTTAGTACCTTTAGACTCATGTTTCTAAACTCCTGAGTTTCAAACCTCTGACTATAACTCATAGTCAGACATTTTGCATTGTGGTCTAGTAAACACACATCCATCCATACATGTACAGCACATATACATTTTACAAAAATAGTCTATCCACTCCATCCTATACTATCCCATATATAGTATGGGGTATACACTATGTTGTATATAGTATGGGATATATACGGCAACACTGTTGTTGTTCCTGACCCACTAATATACTACCGCAGTAATTATTTCAAACGGTTTTTCTAATCTAAACCCACGATTTTCAGCACAGCCTTTGGGTTATAGCATTCTTCTAAATGGGTCAGATAAACTCAAGGGATATTCAGATAGCTTGAAAGCAAAGCTGTTCTTTGTTCCATTGCTTTGATTTCTGTTTGTGAAGGCAGTTAATTTATTTAGATTTTCAAATACCACAAGAAGGAGAAAATGAGATCATTTTAATGTTTTTGAAAGATCTGTTTCCTACTTTTCTTTAAATCCCATTTATATTTTATGGAGTCCTTCAATGAATGGACCACAGTAAACACCCACTGAAATTCACTTAGCAATTAAGCATGTATTGCTGGATGACACTTTCTGTGTAATTCTTTGGGTCAGAGACATTTGTCATGATAAGCCTTGGTTTTCATGCTGTTAACCAAAATGATCTTAAGAGGTGTGGTCTCCTCACCTCGGAAGATTTATGTTTAAACTTGCCAAAGGTACTAGCTACAATGAAACACTGTCTGGAACCTCGTCCACTTAAATAATGCATCCTTTTGCTCACCTTTGACCTCTGCTCACCTCCTTCCCCTCACTCACTTTTGTTTGAGAGTGACCCTGAGGGCAGTTCACTTTGTTTCTTGTGACCCACAGCTGTCTCCAGAACTTTCCTGGTTCTTCAGATTCCAGGATCCATTTTGGTTTGTGAGAGAGAGCTGCAAAGTTGTATTTAAAATTATGTCTTCATTCCTAACCCTGGATATTGCTGGGCTATAATTTTATTGGAATTGTGTTCATCTCATCTAAAATACAAAAGCTCATAAGCTGTCTTCTTAAGAAGTGATAATTCTCCTCCCCTTCAAAACTCTCATTCTCTAATATTGTGACATCATTGACTCATCCTGTAAATGTTAGATTGACTTCTGCCTCCCCCCACCACTTCCAACTTTCCTTAGTAAAAGATGAAATGTCCTTTTTCAAAGGTTCTGTAACCCAGCTTTAGGCCATCACTTAGATCATGTAGGTCATTATTTTACAGATAACAAGAAAGACCAAGAGAAGCAAAATGAGTTCCTCCTTATCGCAGTTAGAGAATATGTAACCAATAGTTCCCTTAATTTGAGTTTTTATTAAGATAAATTGCAAATAAAAAGATATTGAAATAACAGGATAATCTGTAATATTTTTACTGTATTTCCTACATATACAAACTTTTTTTTAATGAGTCATTTTAAAACAAAAATACTGCCTTTCCTTGAAAGTCAAGATTAATGCTTAATATTTTCTCTTAATTATGATTTTCAGAGTAAGGATTTGATATAATAATCACTTCCAGTGATTGATGACTAACCTTTTAAATTCATAAAACAGAAACAATGTGGTGCTTATTGAAATGTTTAAATAGAAAGAGTTAAATTTTAGGTTTTCCTGGCTTTAACATCAATTCTTAAGTAATGCTTTTGTGTGTATATTCTACTATAGATACAACTAGCTAAAACTTTGCTGGGTCTCATTTCATTATGTCCCAAAGTGTAGTACTTTGTGGATGCAATTTTGTTAGCAGATAACTGAGTTAGAGATATTAGAAATTATTACTATGAAAGCTGCTTTTATTTACCTCCTTTTATATTACATATTACAAGCATGCACTGCCTAGCAAAAAATTAACCACTTGGCATCAATTCCTACATCTAAAAAACTAAAGCAGCTCTGTTCTCTACGATGTATTCCTCAGAGTGATGTCATGAAGGTTAATATTACAATCCCCCCAAATAGTTCAACATGACAAAAAAATTATGAATGTTAATGAGAACAGGGTTGAAAATGTATTTGAGGCAGAATAAAGCACTGTTATAAATTACCAGCACTCTATTTTATTTTGTGATTATTGTTTCCTAAAAGCCTTTGAGACCTTTGAGAAACAAACAAAGATATAGACTCAAGGAGAAATAAATAAAAGTGTAAAACCAATAGCAGCTTATTTTCATGTAATTTTAATTTTACCACTTTTGTCTGTGGAGGTACAGTGCAGTTCAAAAGGCTATTGCCTTTTTAAACATTATTGAGATTAGACTGAGAGACCTCTTATGGTTTTATTTCTTATAAAATGACAAGAGATAGATATGAGGATGTTCTAGATGAAATATTTGCCAATTCATTGATGGCCGTAGACAGAGTGAAAAGGCAGTAGAGAATCTCTAAATCCTCCTGATATGGTAAAGCCTAAATTCTGATAAGGGAAGTGATTTTAAAAAGAAGGCTCCAGGGAACTGGTCACTATATTCTCCTATAGTTGTTAAAATGTCATACATTCATTGGCTCTTTATAACTGGAAGTCATCTCACTCATTTCTACCCAAAACACTTCAGTTCACACATGAAGTAACTGAGGGTAAGGCACATTAAGTGACTTCCCCGAGACCACAATTAGTGATGAAACGGGAACTGGAGCCCAAGCCTATGGTTATATTTATTCGAAGGTATATTAGTGTAGCATAAATGTCACATTATATGAATTAATGGGTAACATGAAAACAGAAATATCTCCATAAGCCTCTAGAAGGAAGTTGTTGGGAGGCCCAGCCTATAATTTATGATGATACAACCATGTTTTTTCCTAAAAAAGCTTTCATTGCCCCAAGATCAAAAAGATAGTCTCCCAGGTCACAAGAAATCTTTCATTATCCCAAGGTCATAAGGATGTTCTATATAAATTAGCCTCCAGAAGTCTTAATCCTGATAATGTAATTTATGAAGCTGAAATGTCTCCCTTTTTATTAAAAACTTTCAGAGGGCAGAAACACATATTTAGAATGTATATTCTGTGCATTTGGTGAAGTTGCATCAAACTGGCATTTATCATCAACAAATTCAACTATATAGTCTTGGAGAAAAAAGAAAGCAGAATTAATTTAGGAAGCATGTGCAGTCTCCCTGTTATTCCAGTCAACATATTTATTTTTTATTTTATGTAAGTGTGAGAGAAACAACATCAAACTGATATCCCTCACTTGATCTTAGTTCCCCTGTAACTCTGAGTGTAAACATCTCAAGGTCTGGTATATGATTTTAGCATTTTAAAGATATGATTCTATTTTGGTTCTTATCATGGCTTCTGAAGCAAAGCAACCATTTACTTAGTGTTTAGTGTGAGATTTTCTTGATGTCCTGTTTTGAGTAATTGAAAATTATATTTTGAAATTTTTAAGGATTAATAAGTAATTAAAACTATAAATGATCAAACTTAGCTATTCTTGAAGATTTCAAGCTCAAATTCTGACTATTTATCTGTAAGTATAAGCAGACTTTAATAGTTATTTTTAATGGGACTTTGAGTAATATTTGATTTTATATGCAAGTAGTTAATTGGTGTACAAATAGGAGGTTGAATATACTAGTTTTTTATAAAACACAAGTTAATATGTTTGAAGGAGTTCAATTATCTTCTATAATAATCCATCTATAAAGTATTTAGTGCTTATAATAGATTTTAAAACTTATTCAATCTTACATTTTCTTAAATATCTCAATAATAGGGAGAAGGCAATGGCACCCCACTCCAGTACTCTTACCTGGAAAATCCCATGGACGGAGCAGCCTGGTGGCTGCAGTCCATGGGGTCGCTGAGTCGGACATGACCGAGCGACTTCACTTTCACTTTTCACTTTCATGCATTGGAGAAGGAGATGGCAACCCACTCCAGTGTTCTTGCCTGGAGAATCCCAAGGACGGGAGAGCCTGGTGGGCTGCTGTCTATGGGGTCGCACAGAGTCGGACACGACTGAAGTGACTTAGCAGCAGCAGCAGCATGTCAATTTTACATTAAAAGTCTAAAATGTTTCCTCAGTTACACATCTCAAAAAAAAAAAGACAACCTATTAGTTACATAGAGCAAATTCTCTAACACATTTGAATTATTAAGAATACCAACATGTATAGGTTCTATAGCATGAAAAAAATGATTCTCTTTTATCATCTTTAATATTTCTATGCCTATGTAATCCTGGGGTTAATAGATGCTAACACACTTGGAAAGCAATTATCTTCTAATTGAAATTGCTTATTAGCCAGAGGCTTTGACTGAGACAATGGGTAGATTCTTAATAGTAATCACCTTACAGCATAACCTTATTTACAGTCTTTACAAGGACTTGATAAATTAGGGAGGAATTACTGTACCCCACATGACTCATCCAGCCCATATAATCCACATTTCTAATGTGCTGTAGATTCATGTTACCTATTACTCAGATTTTCTTTCTACAGTCTCAGTCATGCAGCTCTTCTTTCTTTGGCAAGGCCCTCCTGAAAATAATTTTTAAAAAATTAATTGTTATTGGAGTATTGTTTTACAGTGTTGGGTTAGTTTCTACTCTATAGCAGAATGAATCAGCCGTACGTATACATATCTCCCACTCTTTTGGGCTTCCTTGCCATTCAAGGGACGGTGACCACAGTGCCTTAAGTAGAGTTCCCTGTGATACACAGTATGTTCTCACTAGCTATATATTTTATACACAGTATCAATAGTGTATATATTTGATTAAATTTTATATTTATGGACTCGAGCTATTTGAATGAATTTCATCTATTGTATTTCTGACTTGGACACAATCTTGCATTTTCTCACATTGTTTTGATCTGGTAGGAACATAGGATTCTTACCAATGTAAAGTGCTGCAAAACAGTCAGATTTTCTATATTACAAGAGACTAAAGGGCTATCATAATCTAAATGCAAAGCATAAACCTTTGCATTTAGTTATATTACCTCTTTCATCTCTTTTTTTGGATCTTGGACTAGGGAAATATAAAAAGTATATTTAGGACCTAAAGTCAGTTATTTAACCATCCTGTACTTCAATTTCCTCAACTTTAAAATGGGGGCAGTTATACTACTTGCTTCATAAGTTTTCAGTGGGAATTTAAATAGTATTTAGTAACTATTAAATAATGGTTATCATGAATTTGGGTAAACTCCGGAAGTTGGCGATGGACAAGGAGGCCTGGCATGCTGCGGGTCATGGGGTTGCAAAGAGTCAGACACAACTGAGCTACTGAATTGAACTGAACTGAATGGTTATCAGTAGTAATTATTAAACAAATAAATGATAAAAATTGATAAAGAACTTGATGAACAATTTCTTGTCTAAGTGGCTTCTTACACTTTTGGGAGAAAGCTTCCAGAGTGAGCTTTGTCAAAGTCAGATCAGCATTCAGTATTACTAACTACTGGTAGGATTTTAGGCAAACTAAAATCTCCCCTCGTGGTTCAAACAGTAAAGAATCTGCCTGCGATGCAGGAAGCCCAGGTTCAATCCCTGGGTTGGGAAGATCCCCTGGAGAGGGAATGGCAAGCTGCTCCAGTATTCTTGCCTGGCAAATTCCATGTACAGAGGAGCCTGGTGGGCTACAGTCCATGGGGTCACACAGAGTCAGATGAGACCGAGCATGCACTCATGTAGCAACATAGCAAGATCTCTTTGGGTTTTAGAAAATGCAGATGTCAGAAAAATGATCTCCAAGGAGTTTTCTGGGCTTCCCTGGTGGCTCAGATGGTAAAGCATCTGCCTGCAATGTGGGAGACCCAGGTTTGATCCCTGGGTGGGGAAGATCCCCTGGAAAAGGAAATGGCAACCCATTCCAGTACTCTTGCCTGGAAAATTCCACGGATGGAGGAGCCTGGTAGGCTACAGTCCATGGGATCATAAAGAGTCGGACACGACTGAGCAACTTCACTTTCACTTTTCAAGGAATTTTCCAGTTCTAAGGCTTTATGGTGTTACAGGAGAGATGTAAGTTCCCAATAAATGGATAAATATCAA